CGTTGCGGCTCTTCCTCGACGACATTCCGGACTTCTCATCGTGGACGTCATCGGCAGCTTCATGGACTTCGTCACGATCAGCTCTGCCTACTTCAGACGTCGCCACTCTCTTACCACTTTACCTTGTACAGTACCCTGCTTGTGTCGCGTGATGGTCTCCCTTTAGCCGGGTTCCTCTGAGTTGGGCTCTCCCTTGGTATACGCATAGGCATCGGGACCGTAGTGTTGCCCTGGCTTCCCATCTTATGGATCTAGCTCCGACTTCCCTCACTTTATGAGTCATTTGCATGATTCCCTTACCCATCATCTTTCTACCCTTCGCCGGCCCTCACGCCCTAGTTAAGCAGCTCCGCATGCTTCATCTAGGTGCGCCCAGTATACCAGGCTTCCTTGTTCCCTTGCATGGTCGACCCTCCATAGGGGTCACCCCTTAGCCGAGCATTACCCGCCCTGATGGTCTATCTGTTAGGGTCATTGGTTCTGTTCGCTCCCAGTTCCCTACCCTCATTGAGCCTGATGACATGTGTTTCCCCCTGTCACTATGTGTGGATGCCCTTAGGAGTTTTCGACCCCTAGGCTGCATTCGCCACCCTCAGAGACCATCCCACCCTTTGGTTTGCGACACACTTTTCTTGTGACATATGATTGACTTGTTGTTGCTTGTTGCTCTTAGACTGAGGCTACTGCCTCTGACATTTCTAGGATTTAGCTGTTCTGCTTTTGCTGTTCTTATGACTTATACACTAGTTAGTTGTTCCCAGACTGAGGCTACTGCCTCCAACATTCTAGGATCTAGTTGTCACTACTTTCTGCTTTCCTAGGACATGTATGCTAGTTACTTGTTTTTGCTTTCACTTAGGCTGTTAGATGTGACATTGCTGTTCTGCGACATTTTTTATCCTAAGTTGCATCGTATGGACTCAGCATGGAGCTTGCTCCGCATCCTAGACTACTCAGGTTTTCTTTTTCTTTGGTAGAGTTCCGCTTCTTGGCGGAAGCGTGTTTGTATCTGGGCGATCCATCACAGGCCGAGGATCGTGTAGCGGACCTCTGGTTGGCCTGTGAGAAACCAGCCCCTTGGCCTGTTCTCACAGGCCTGTGTTCTATTCAGGGGCAGTCCAGTCCAGTCCAGGCCGGTACCTCTGTCGGAACCAGCAAGTCCAGTCCAGTCCAGTCAGTCCGCTGGGGTATACCCCAGCAGTTGTCTGTTTCGTCATCATTCTTCACTTGCACATTTTGGAGTACGTGCGTTGGAGTCTTGCGTGGGGAGCTGTGTTGTGCCATCTCGCTTCCCCCCTTCTTCCTCCATCTCCATCTCTATCATTAGCAGAGCACCACACCTGGTGGGTCCGCTACAAAATATCCTTTTTTTTTTTTTTTTTTTTTTAATATACCGTAATCCCCGTGAACGGCCTGATATGGAGACGGTACTCTGGGTGGGTGGGAGGTGCTCCACTGGGGGTCTTCGCGGAAGTTCGCGGAAGAATTTGGGGCTCAACAGCCGTTATGAAACGGATTCCACCTTTGCAGTAGCCGATGCAGATCCAGGGCTCAATCCGTAGTCCTTACCCTACCTGTGTACAACGGATTCCACCTTTGCAGTAACCGATGCAGATCCAGGGCTCGATCCCTAGTCCTTACCCTACCTGTGTACAGTATCTGTGTCGACCCCAGCAGTTGAACCCACGACCTGTGTCTTTCCCCACAGTTGGTAGGTTGTCGTAGGTCTGTAGGCTATAGGGGTTCAATCTGTAGACCTGTCGGATAGGAGTCTTAGTGAGTTCTAGAAGTCATAGCTGTAGCTTCTCCGAAGGGTCAAGGTCGTAACTGCTACAATACCGAAAGACCAAGTCCACGGTCTTCCGGAAGGTCCGGAAGTGACCTTTCGGGTACTGCCCACAGTAGACCGAGGCAAGTGGGCAAGTGGCGAAGTCCACCGGTGCTAAGTCAGCGGTATCCAGTCCCAGTCAGTCTCAGTCCAGTCAAGAAGTACCGTGTGGGACTGTGTGCACCTGGTCCAGGGGAATGGAAAAGGGGCAGACCAACGAGCTACAAAAGTATAAATCAAGAGGTAGCGCCCGACCATTCATTCATTCCTGCGTAAGCCATGCGGAAGCGCTGCCACAGCGACTTGTGCGAGGTGGTCTGCCGTATGCCCGAAGACGAAGTGGGCCAGAAGGAGAGCTTAGCCATAGCGATAAGGGTAGTAGCGGCCATTGCCGCCATAGTTGACAGAAGAGTGTAGCGTGTGTGTGTGCGTGTGTGTACAGTGCGACGCGTGTGGGATATATCCAGGGTGATCCTAAGTTGAGGGTGTGTGAACAACAAAGTGGGGCGCAGTGACGAACAGGGAGTTGTACAGGCGCTGATACGCCATAGCCATCTGAAGAGAACTTGTATCTGAGCTGTGTTCTTGGTTTCCATATCTCTGAGTTTTGAGTGGGCACTTGTCGCCAGTTTGCTGCGCTACCTGTTTACATGCATGTGAGTGCGAAAGAAAGCGAGTCTGATTGCATTGGTATCAGAGCTGGTACCTGCTATTCCACGCGCCATCGTCGTGTGCTGCAGGGAGAGTCGCGCGCCATAGCCGAAGGCGCCATCGGAGAGGAAGTCCGCCATTGCGGATCCGCAAGGTGAAGAAGCCGCCGCGCGCACTTGCAAAGAAGACAATGACGAGAGAGAGAGAGAGAGAGAGAGAGAGAGAGAGAGAGAGAGAGAGAGAGAGAGAGAGAGAGAGAGAGAGAGAGAGAGAGA